TAAAATTGCAATTAACAATATAATTTGTGTCGGCTAGGGCCGAGCTCGCTCAATTGCTCGCGTAGTGTGAAATTTACTATTATCGATTAAAAAAAATCTATTTTCGTTATGTCTTTTTATTTGTCAGGTATTTAGATTACGGCAATACCCTACCAGAAATCGTAGAAACAAAGTGAGTGTACGAACGTATTCGAGGTTCGAGCATCATTAAAGAGTTATCTTGGTGCATGCTTTTTGTAGCGGAAAGGCTATCGACCGCCGCGAATAGATTCTTGAAATTGCTTTATTGGGTAACCTGTTTCCGAACCTTCATAGTAGGCGTGTAATGCAGTTATTAGTCAAGACGTGACTGAAATAAAATATATTATGTTTTACATATTTTTGAACGGACGCGAGGGCAATATAAACTGATTGGATTATACGTAGTAAGTACTAAATGCATTTTCGTATGTCGTAAATTAAAAATATTGCATCATACACCTGTCTAATGGTCTTGCCTATACGCGATGCCCTATAAATTTTAAATTTGACCGTATTATTAATTTAGTACCAGCCATTATTAACTAATCCTAATAACAGTCATTATACTCCTATAATAAAAATTTAAATAGTGATTTAAAAAACCGCATTTAGACCACCGTTATTGATAGTCGATTTATGTAAGCGCTTTTAACAACAGATCCGAGATCCCGCTCTATTCATATTTACGATGCTTCCTAGACCCCATGTAGGATATTAGCCGGGGGCTCGTTATCCACAACCGGGAGCGGTACTTGTAAACGAACCGAACCGATCCGGAACTAATTCTTGTTTATGGGCGACCACGATCAATAAATACCTTGTTAATACTTATGGACGTCTCCAACAATCATAACTGCACATAAACATCACTTATTATCGAAATCAACTGGATTATTTAAATCGCCATACTCATAGGTATACAATCGATATTATATTAATGCTCCAAAGAAATTTCGAACAACTTGACCGCTTTCAGAACTTTTTAACGCGAGCGCCGCATATTCGAGCGACGCGTAGCGTCGGATTCTTTCTGAATCTTTTTTTTTGTCGGTCTTACTCAACGCTTGTACATTAATAAAAGCAACGATGAGTATCTCTTAAGTGCCAGTGACACAGATTTTAGCGCCGACATAATATTTGTAATGTACGTCCACATAGCGCGTGATACCGTTCATAGTCCCCTCGTATGTTTCGAGAAAAGTAACGGTCAACGCGGCGCCGCCTCAAAATGCACCAGTTTTGTTATAAAATATAGCATGTAGTCGGAGTGGTTTTATGACCCTATGAACTTAGATTTTGTCGCAACCTCTAGCCGCCGTACCCGCCGCTCGATTATTGCGGAATCTAAAGCTGCCTCGAATAAAAAATGAAATATTGTTACGATAACGTAACGCTGTCAAACTACGGCATGCGATGCGAACTTAAACTATCCATTTTGTCATTACTCTTATTCACATGGCTTTCTTTCCCCGCTGAGATATGCACCTCGTTAAGTTGAGGTCCTAAGTTCATATGGGCTGTGGAATGTATTAGCGACTCTACCAATCACAGGCCCGGTCTCTAACCTAAAGCAAACGCTGCAGTGAGCTTAATAGCACGCCAATTACCGCTCTTGTTTGTATTGTAGGTACTGCAAGGTGCAATTGTATAAAGTGCCTCAATAATACATTCCGTCCTCTCTAAACACTCCGTAAAAGTTGAACCAAAACTTGTTAATCGATTTAATTTAAAAATAAAATAGTTATCAAATTATTGATAGTAAATACAATCGGTTATTAAAAACGATTTGTGTTAAATGATCCATGAACGTTTGTAAAGCAATCAAAGCCATTTCTGTGTATTGATTCGGAAAACAATATTATAACAGCGTTTTAATTAGTTGTATCATTAAACCAAGTAAATTATTATGAATTTGTTTTAGAATAATCCCAACAAAAATATTAAAGGTTATCGATTATTACTAATAACGGGTTTCAGTGTATAATAAAAACGCATCGTTTTTTAAGGAGTCGTTTTCCAGTAGGTAAAGGGAATGTAAATTCCTTTTTTTTAAACTAAATATTAGTTCAGCTAGTAATAAAACGATTAAAGTTTTTTATCTTCATTTTAATATCATCCTAAAATTGCTGAACGAATAGTTTGTAATACTTATAAACTGTTTTACATCTCTTATGTAATAAAGCGGATCGCTACGGAGAACCAGGTATAAATAAATAAAAAATATGTATTTCTTGTTTCAAACATTTTTCTGAAAATACGTTAGTGAAAAATTACGGTCTCCACCTATGTCTAAATGATCATTCAAAAAAATCTAAACACGATTAAGTTATTACATAATTCGCTTTAAACAAGCATAATATTCTAATAAACAAACATTGTATAATTTGTAACAAAGAATAATATTTTCTTGATTTCCGCAACATCAATGTAGCGCAATAATTGTTGGAGTAACGAGTTGGCATCATTGAGATCGTAAACAATGAGACATTAATCCTGCCGTTGCTGTATTTTTTGTTTGTAAAAGTCTTCTTATTCTCTTGGATTTGCAAACAACTAGCTCTAAAAGTAGAATAGGTTTCTCGAACAATTTCTACCCGTAACAACCACAGGCTGTCAATTCCATTTTCAGTACCTATATTTGATATCAAAATGTCTAATAAATTCAAGAAACCGATGGTTTAGAACCGTATATAATAATCTATAAATATAAAAATACTTTAACAAAGAAGTATTAAGATTTCTTACTATTGTTATATCGCAAAATATTTTTTATGTCACATAAAGCATATCCCAAAAATTCGAATTAAGAAACGGACTATGGTGACCGAATAATGGTAATTCGAATTATTCGAATTCGAATAATGAAAATCTAATTCGAATTAGAAAATCCTGAAGGCTATTCAGTACGAGGTTATCGGTCCTGCGGTCACCTACCCGGGAACTTGATAGATTGCCCTGGGCAGGCCCAGCGTGGTGAGTACGCTACGCTGGGCCTGCCCAGGGCAATCTATCAAATTATACAGTCCAATTGGCACATTCTAGAATATAGGTTTATGTCCAGCAGTAAATTATAACAGGCTTTTAATAAAGAAGAATGGCTTCAGACAGAATTTTTTTAAAGAATATTAACAATGCTATAAACATTACTAATATTCCCCTTAACCACTCTTGGTAAGCTTAAATTGCTTGTGTTACGAGTGATTCACGCAAGTAGTCGAATGGCGGATTCGAACCCACGACCTTTTTGAGTTCGCCGTCCGCGCCCTGCCATTAGGCTACTGTCGCTTTATGGTTTATTACATCACGTGATGGTTATTACGTCGTTATGGTTTATTACGTCGCGTGATGGTTTATTACATGTCCTCGAAATATATAATTAATATTTGACGAAGCATATATTCAGCTATTAAACTTTAAAAAATCATAAGCTAATTAATATTATACCTAATATCCTTGTGTAATTTGGAAGAGTGTTCATTTTAAACTAATTTTAAATTATATAACATTAAACGTTAAAATTACGTTTAATGTTCTACAATCTTGTTATGAAGAAAAGTGTCTGTTTTCGTATTTGCAAGGATATAACCCATATTGAAAACGTCACACTTATCAAACAGGAATCCATGTCGAAAGTTCGATATACCTACTTATCAGGATCCAGTAGGCTTAAGAAGTTTCTATCGTAAAATAGAGTGTAACTAATGTACTAACCTCTAACGCGACGCGGAGACATCAAAATATATATTCAACGTTACAAACCCTTTCGCTTCTCAAATTCCTAGTACAAGTTATTGAGATAAGCAAATTTTGAGTCATCTAATTTCTTGCCACACCTTTATAGAAGTCTAACAATGACCACTGAAGACAACAAATCTCTGTAACTAATCCAAGACTGCCCATGGTCCAAAGTGGCCAATTCAAATTTTTTTGCGAACAGCATCGCACAGAAATGTCACCTCGCGATTGGTTGCACGTGGAATAAGTGAAATCTATATAGAATTATCTGATCTACAGCGCTCATTCATTCTCATTGACTCACTAATATGTTTTGCTTTAATTCATATCAACACCTTGGAAACTTAAACCTTACTTTAAAATGTGCTTAAACCTTAAATGTTATAAGATAAACTAGCTGTTATCCGTGATTTTGTCCGCGTGGAATTTATAACGATTTCATTTCATGGGTTTTAATTTTTTTGCGCGGAACCCCAATTTTTTTTCTTAAAATATGTCGCCTAAATAACTATTAATCACTCCTTATAACATCAGCTATCTGCTAGTGAAAGTTCCGTTAAAATCGATCCAGCCATTTAGGAGATTAGCCGGAACAATCAGACAGGTAGACAGATAAACAGACACAGACAAACAACATCTATAGAATAATAAACATAATAATTAATAATTGGCGTAGGGAAGTGACGACCTCATCGCCCGCTGACGTAACGGTTATGTGACAAAACCGCTACTTCAGCGCAGTCAGTCAGCACCTTGCCAAGAAGTGTTAGTGCCGTGCCTCGGCAAAAATTTAAGGTGAAAAGGCCCGCTTGTGCACATGGCCCACCATGCAACGGCGCCGGGTCTGGGCGTCTCCCGTTAAATGACGCCCACAAAAATGGATGATGGATTTGACTAGAATGCGCAAAGGGCCGCTGCCTGGAGGACACCAGGGCGCGTCTGGAGCATGCGAACCGCCAGCCGACGAGCGCGAGGTGCTGCACGACCATCCAGCAGCCCCTCGCATCCATCACCCCCACCAGCTGGCTTGGTGTCGGCAGGGTCTTCGCGGGCCCAGCAATCGGCACCCGCCACTGGTGGAGCACGCCGCATGCGTTGGAAAACTCAAATGAACAGCAACGCATTGCGGGCGTATTTTTGGGCGAAAGGGGGAGAAATTGGAGGTTTTGCGTATCGGGCAAGGATGCATTGACTTTTTGCTGAGCTGGAACCATCTGTAACCTTCACCGAGCAAAACCTGGCAGACCGAGTTCGGTATATCTTGCGCTCAAATATGAATTTGATGTCACCGAACTCGAACGGCTACGAAGTGAGGCTGTTCCTTCATCGGATGAAAATGCTACGACTGAGGATGCGGCGCCACAACTTGCAGAGCAACCGGCAAACGTGGATACCGCCGTGAATACCCCAGTTTGGGTTGATTCAAACGATGATGGAACAGTCGCCCAGGAACTGGAACTGGAGCAAATGAGGAGTACATTGGATGAGGCGATTTTGGAAACGCGCAGTACGCCTCTCGAAAATCGACCGCGACTTCCCCGCATAGCCCTAAGCAAGCGGAATCGGGTTATCGTGAGGGCTCTGAACCCAATGCTGATGACCTATTTGGAAGCCAGCCGGGACCTTTGCGAGACGGACTCAATTCTCTTTGGCGCTGCACTGGCAGACTTTCCACGGCTGGACGCACTACTGGACAAAGTAGTGGTATCCCAGCCTGGAGAACAAGAATTGAAAAACGTATCGCAAGGGTTAGGGCCCTCATCGGTAGACTGATATGCTTCAGAGCAGGCAATACCAAGGATTATGCGCACCGTCAGGATGGCGTTTGCTGGGACAAATGCTAGTTTGTCCCAGCCGGATATAATGCAAAAACTGACGGAGCGCATAGACGACCTGAAGCAGAGAATCGCTGCTTGAGGAAAGCGGATTCGAACCGAGAGGTCGACACGGTTCAACCAGAATCGTCTCTTCTAGAGTGATCAGAAGAGGCTCTATAAATCATTAAAGCGACCAATGTTAAGTGGAACGGGCCCAGTACCGAATCAGGCCGACACGGTCGCATTCTGGCGCAGCCTGTGGTCAGAGCCCGTAAACCACAACGAGGGCCCTTGGATGGAATTTGTAGCGAGTCAGTGTGCGGGTATTTCACCCATGGACCCCGTCATCATAACGCCGGATGACGTAGCTGAGGCGATCCGTAGGGCCCCGAACTGGAAAATTCCGGGGCTTGACGGGCTGCATCACTACTGGCTGAAGGTGTTCATGGTGTGTCACGCTGTGCTCGACCGACAGTTTGAAGAGGCTCTCAACCAGAAGTACCTCCCAAGCCTCTTCACTACTGAGATCACCCATTTGGTTGCTAAAGATCAGGGTGCCACAGACCTGAGCAAATACCGCCCCATCACGTGTCTACCGACCACAAGACACTAACATCCATTTTGAGCGCGCGAATCACTCGTCACTTGGACTCAAATCAGGGGATGTCAATGAGGAGTGGTTACTTGGGTCGTGGAACCAAGGAACCACTCCTCATTGACGTGTTCATTGGCAAAGTGGTGAAACGCAACCGTCGTAACTTCTCCGCCGCCTGGATAGATTACAGAAAGGCATTTGACTCGGTGCCCCATACATGGCTTAAGAGGGTCCTCGAGCTGTACAAGATTGACTGTACAGTTCGAGACTTCCTCGAGCAGTGTATGGGGCAGTAGAGTACGATCCTCTGTCATCTAGGCGAGCGGATGACGGCTGCGGAAAGCCGCATAAGGATAAGAAGGGGTATATTCCAGGGCGACTGTCTGAGTCCAATCTGGTTCTGCCTCTCTTTGAACCCTCTCAGTACTTTACTGGAGGGCTCCGGGAGAGGATTTCAGCTTCGGAAAGGAGGTACAAAAGTGAACCACCTTTTCTATATGGATGACCTCAAATTATTCGCCTCCAGTCGCTCCCATCTTATGGAATTGCTAAACATCACTTGTGAATTTAGCAATTCTATTAGAATGGAGCTGGGGACGGATAAGTGTGCGGTCCTCCATGTTGAAAGGGGAAGGGTTGCTAACTCTGAGGGCATAGACTTATCTATGCCCGTCAACTTAATGAGTTAATGACCCTTTCCCAGGCTGAAACATACCGATACCTGGGTCACAGAACATCGGTATCGATGAGGCTGGTATGAAACAGTCAGTTTGCGACGTGTTTTATGCACGCTTGACCAAAGTACTTAACAGCCTTTTATCCGGTGTGAATAAGACACAGGTATATAACGGCTGGGTCATGCCTGTCCTCATGTATACCTTTGGCATACTCAGGTGGAGTCAGACTGAACTAAACGCCCTGGATAGTAAAGTCCGCACTACAATGACGTCCCACAGGATGCGTCATCCGAGATCGTCGGTAATGAGGCTGTACTTGCCGCGAAAGCATGGTCCTTCCTGAGCGTGCTCACCGTGCATAATCGCGAAGTGTGCAGCCTCCGTCATTACTTCCTGGCGAGATCGGATGATCCATTCTATAATGACGTCATTTTTAGTGATAAAGGACTTCTTACCCCTCTATCCTTAGCCAACGAGCAATGGCAGGACCCATTAGTACAGAACATTTCCGACCGGGAGACCGTACGGAAGGAGAAGGAGCTCCACGGGAGGTACAACAGGGCCCTACATGAGCCCCACGTAGATACAGCCGCCTTCCTCAACTGGCTACGTTTCGGTGACCTCTTCGGGGAAACCGAGGGTTTTGTCTGTGCAATACAGGATCAGGTTATTAAGACCAACAACTATCGGAGATACATCCTAAAGGATGGCACTGTCGACGTCTGTCGAGTTTGTCGCCATCCCGGGGAGTCACTTAGGCGTGTCATCTCCGGTTCGCCGCTTTCTAACTCCGAGTACTTGCACAGGCACAACCTAGTAGCCAGAATTCTACACCAGGAGCTCGCTCTGAAATACGGTCTCGTAGAACGGACATTGCCGTATTACAAGTACTTGCCGGAAGCCGTGCTCGAAAATGACCGCGCCAGGCTCTACTGGAACCAGGCCATCATTACGGACAGGTCTGTTCTTGCGAATAAGCCTGATATTGTGCTGATGGACCGGGCACAGTCAAGGATATTTTTGGTCGACATTACCATTCCGTATGACGAGAACCTCGTGAAAGCCGAAACATATAAACGAACAAAATATCTGGACCTGGCTCACGAAGTGACCGACATGTGGGGTGGTATGCCAGCCGAAATTATTCTTGTAGTAGTCTCTGTTAATGGGCTAATCCCAGTCAGCCTCTCGGGTCATCTGAGGCGACTGGGACTCCGTGACGGACCGCTCCGGGCTCAAATGCAGAAGGCGCTGCTCCTCGATACCGCCCGCATCGTCCGCCTTTTTCTTTCCCTTTCCTCCTAACCCTCAGCCGTTTGGTCTCCCCTGCCGTGGGCTTCCATCTGGTTGGGCTTTTATTTATTCATGTATTTTTGTATTTATTTTATTTTATTGATATTTATGTATATTTATCTTTTCATTTTAATTTATAATTATATATTTATAGAACCCAACCAGATGAGAAAACTATATAGATACCCAACATAATAATATAATAAGTCATTAGACCCATTAGTATTATGATATATATATATATATACATACATATATATATATATATATATATATATATATATATATATCTTAATATATAGAAATTACGTGTCACGTTGTTTGTCCACGATGGACTCCTAAACTAATTTACTGATTTTAATCAACTTTGCACACCGTGTGCTGTTTGGTCCAACGGAGAGAGGTACGATAGTTTTTTCGCCCACAAGTGACTCAAAATTTTTTTTACGAATAAGGGTTTTTCAGAGATCATGCCAAAGAATTGTCGAGAAGGACAGAACAACGTCTGCCTGGCAAGCTAGTATATATATCATAAGACTAATGGGTGTTAAATATGGGGCACCGGTGTTGCCTTTTGCGGTGATTATATTCTTCTGCGATATTTGATGTCTTCCACAACGCGTGGAGATTAAGTATGAGGATACAGCAACCAATGATGGTAATTAATATTTCAAATTCCTATCGTCAACGTGATAGGAGTATCAGTTATCATTTTTTAATTGATGTCGTATTGCTGAGTAAATGAAAATATGAGTATTTTTTGTGCCTTTTGTTTACTTTGTTTGTATAAAATTGAAGAAAAATCTCTTTAGTTGTACTGTTTGTATCTGGCTGGTTTTAATATCAATAAATATAGGCACTGACCTCTATATATAAAAATAGATATTAAGAGAACGAAAAATAAAAAGTAAAAAACACTTTCCCCCTATTTTTAATTGTTTTTCTGTTAGTCAAAATGAGTGAATCTAAGGAAGAAATGTGTTACGTTCTGAAGCTTTACTAAAAAAGAAAAGGGAAAATACGACTCATAAAGTGGAACGAATTTGTGACGATAATGGATCTAATGCAGTGTAGCACAAAGTTGGGAATTTCACAAGGGATTTTTGATGTAAAAGATGCAGCTCGCTCTGGTCGTCCATATACGGATAAAGTCGATGGCATTTTTGAAAAAGTGGAACAAGATCGACATATTACTAGCTACGAAATAGCCAAGGAATTGAGAATTGACCACAAAAGCAAAACAGTTTTCACCCATTTGAAGTAATCTGGCTTTACAAAAAAGCTCGATATTTGGGTACCACACTAGCTCACTGAAAGAAACCTTATGAATCTTGTACTCATTTGCGATTCTCTATTGAAACAATCGGTTTCACCGAATGATTTTTGAAAGATTGATCACTGGTGATTTAAATTGGATCACCTACAACAAAAACTTGCAAAAAATATTATGATCAAAGAGTAGTCAAGCTCCACAGACTGTAGGGAAACCCGGATTAACACACATTAAAGTGATGTTGTTTGTTTGGTGGGATTTGAAGGCCATCGTTTATTATAAGCTTTTACCGCCTGGCAAAACCATCAAATCGGATCTCTCCTGCCAACAACTAATGAGAAAACGGCCGGAATTGATCCACAGAAAAGGAGTAGTCTTTCATCATGATAACGCCAGACCACACACACCTTTGGCCACTCAGCAAAAATTGAGAGAGCTTGGTTGGAAAGTGTCAATACATCCACCATGTAGTCCTGATCTTGTACCCTCAGATTTTCACCTGTTTCGGTTTTTCAGAATTCTTTGGGTAGTGTTAGGTTAACATCAAAAAGGATTGTCAAATTATACTTGTCGCATTCTTTTGATCAAAAATCCCAAGATTTCTACAGCAACGGGATTATGTCATGGATGATTTAACTTGTTCCCATCTTGTAGGTATCAAGATGGGAACAAGTTAAAGCACAAAATGGCACATATAATTAAATGTAATTATACTTTAAAAAAAATGTCTTGAATTTGTATATAAAATAAGAAGAACTTTTTCTGCGATCCTATATGTCGTCTTCATGATACAGAGAAATTTTAGTGTAGCCTTCAAACGTATAAAATATATAATCTTAAAAGGTTAACGTACGTGTAACGTGTATATATGAAGAGTGTGTTATATAAACTATACCATGATTGACTTGTGGAGTGCCTTGGCAAGTTATAACAAAATAGTATAAGTTAGTAAGACAGTAAAAGTTTACTTTGTAGTCACTCATTATGGTGAATGTTTATTATGTAGGTAGACTAAGATTACTATTATAACGAAAAGTATTGCATCTGGCCAGTATTCTGAAATTTAATTAATTTGCCATGGTTTAACGTAAATTAATTAACGTAACGTAAGATAATTTTACATAACTAGCTGTGCCCGCGACTTCGTTCGCGTGGAATCAGTACTTTTGCTATTCTATGTGATGATGATTTATTTGTTAATTAAGGTGTCGCGAAGACTTAGAAAGACACTAATCTGAATAAAATTTACAGTTAGTCGTTCAATGACACAAACAAATAAACGGAACCACAAATAAACCAAGCAATAAATAGGACAAACAGTACGCTTGTGGTTTATTTTGTAAATAAACAACAAAATGACCGCAGTATCGTAATCCCTAATTTGCTCCCGAATTCCTCTAGCCAATACTTGGTTTCCATACAACAAATAAGATATTGCCCTAAATAAGCAAGCACCATCACTAATTATTGATATTGAATAAAAAATTTGGAATGAAAACTACAATCCAATGCCTACCTAACACTGAGTAGGTACCTACACTAACAAAATAATGAAATTACGTAAATATCTATATTTTATCTCATCCTGCAAACAAATAAAAAATAAAACTAAGGTCCACTTAGGAAAGTTTTTTGACTTTTAAGTAATAGGTGTCATCGGGCTTAAAATCAGTTGGGTTTTCTATCAAAAAATTCTCGGTAGCAGGCCGGGGTCAAGTTTTAACTGTGTTTCATCCCTATGCCTCAGAAAGCACGTAAAGCCGTTTTATCTGTATCTGATCTCACTATATTTTTGTCGGATTACTAACTCGGACACAATGATAAATAGACAATGTTTTATATTTTATATATTATAATGATCAATAGGGGCAGATTTTTGTAAAGTTCTATGATTAGTGTTATTCATAATTATCATAATTTCGTTTCACGCATTTCCCCACCACCATGCAATTGAAAACCATTTTTTCCATCAAAACCATGTTTAATGGTTTTAGCACTTTATGGTGAGATATTAGGAAAATGAATAACAAACTAATTGCATTATTTTAATCCTAAAGTATTCGTACTAGTTTTAAAGTTACAATAATCGTTTAATAATTTGTCCCTATACCAATATGAAATCACCCCGTATAAAACATTCTTAAAATCTGATTTTAATTTTTCAAGACTTCTTTCTTAATGGATGCCTGATCCAGCGGTTTGAGCTGTAGATTTAGTACAATATTTTTCATACAAAATTTGAATTTTGAACCCTTGTTTTAAAACCGTAAGAGACAAATTTTATTAATTAATTACTTTAAAGCGTTAAATATTTTTCTCCCTTCAAATTGAACATTGTGTACCCCCTTCTACCTTCTACCGGGGGAGGGCCCCCGGTAAGAGATTGTTTTAAGAAATACCATAATATTTTATTTTCATACAAAATTGCATGCCATCTGCCCCAGCGCCCTCTATCATAACGGGGTACGGGAACTCTCGGTAAGTATTGAGTCAATCGCCCTGTAAAATATTTTTGTTATAAAATAATAAACTGTAACACCCTTAAAATAATACTAGTTTTTACGGAATTTATCGCGAATATTTAACTTTTTAAATACCCGACGTTTTGAGAGCTTTACAGCACCCATGGTCACGGGAAGGACTGAGATGTTCAACGTCCAGATGTCATAGTTAACCGCGGTTACCATAGATTAAAATTTAACTTTTGTTCCGATCTACACAGTATGAACTTATGGTATCATGAAGTCTTGCAGTTGTATGCTTGGGTTGGGATTTAATTTTATTTATTATAGGATCCCAAGCAGATGGTAGCACCCAGCCATCTTCTCTATTGAAATTAGGATGTTCATCCTTGGAAGGAATCGGTGTTCTTTAGCGAGGCTTTGTGGTCTATCAAATCTGATGTAGTGACGGGGGCGATCCTGTACGTGTTCACAGACTGCAGACTTCCCGGAGCGTCGATTCTTCACATCAGCTATATGTTCTTTAACGCGGGTTTTAATTAATCTTTTAGTTTGTCCTATGTAGGAGAGACCACATTCACAATTAAGCTTGTACGTTACACTTGACTGATGGTAAAAACTGACCAATCTTCTTCGGTGGCTTGAAGTATGTTTTGATGGAAGCGCGCTTCAAGATGTAGCCAATCTTGTCAGTGACTCCTCTAACATATGGCAGTACAGCAGGTACACGCTCGACTGTGGCCGGCTTCACTCGTTCTCTGTGATGTAGGCGCGGGACCCGAAGCTTGTTGTCATGCAAAACTTGCTTGACATGTTGTAGATCGGAACAAAAGTTAAATTTTAATCTATGGTAACCGCGGTTAACTATGACATCTGGACGTTGAACATCTCAGTCCTTCCCGTGACCATGGGTGCTGTAAAGCTCTCGAAACGTCGGGTATTTAAAAAGTTAAATATACGCGATAAATTCCGTAAAAACTAGTATTATTTCAATGTGTAGTGTTCGCGTAAATATAAGAAATCATTATGTAACACCCTTATTCCAAACTCAGGAATCGAATTTTCCAAAATGATTTTATAGCGGATTTCTACGTCAAAAAAAGCTATCCAATTGTATTGTCCAAATTTTAGATTCTCATTTGCACTGGTGGATGAGTTTGTTACTCATTATAGCTTAGTTTCTATGACTCAGTATATAAAGAGTATATAGTAGGTACACAGTAGACAGTGACGTCTGTCGGTAAATGGCAAAACTAACTTTACGTCAAATTAAATTTTATTCTGTTCGTTTTAACTATGTCCAATATAAATTAAATTTTATAAATGTTATTTGCAAAGGAAATAAAAAAGCTTCTGATATAAAATAAGAATTTTGTCTAATTTTAAGTACCTATTAACTAAGCAAATAAAAACATAAATTAATAATATGCACTTTATTACTATGTAATTGTAAATTTTAAAATAGAACAACTGTGCCAGGACAGCTATAAGGACCCTTCCCCGCTCTAAGTAGTATGAGAATACCTACAATGATATCCTTTTTTATATGTACATTTCATTGAAATCATATACTCAGCCGTATATATGCAATTATATGATATTTAGAAAAGTACGGGTAAGAATAATATGAAAATCTCAAAATCGGAAAACATAATTTTTCAGTTTCACGACAATGTAAATTTTAAAACTTTTGGAAATGCAAAAGGGAAGTTATGTTTACTGCCAAGCTTCTATGTGATTGATATGATCCTTTTCGAAACCAAAAAAACTATTAATAGCCCTTTCAAAATTTGATTTACCATATTGTAGGTACTCGGCGGTTAAGAAAAAAAATTATGAGCACACCTTAAAATTTAATAAATATTTTGCACAACATCATCTATCGATGACATTGGTTAACTATTGTACTTTTTAACTAAAATATTAAAATTTATATATTTTTATGGATATTTGTTACGTTATTCTTTATTATTTTAGTTTACTGCGTTTAGATACAATCTGTATCGTGCAAAAGTGGATTGGGACCTAATTATATTTACTGAATGTTGGTTGCGAAGCTGTCACTACATTCCCATACTACACGGATATAATTATGCTGCTACTACAATTAACAAAACACAAAACGAGGGAGTTGTAATTTACTATAAATCAAATAATAATTATTATATCTCAGAAATCAACTTAACAGATGCTAATTGTTTGCTTATAAAATTGAATGCTAATTCTGTCGTCCTTACAATATACCGCCCCCAAGCGTAAAGAATACAAACGCTTTCTTTGAATCGTTAAATACTGTACTTATTGGGTTAGCACAATATAAAAATATAATATTAACAGGAGATATAAATATTGATATATCATCCTCATCAAAAGACTCTAGAGCCCATATTTATCTTGATCTATTAGCCTCTCATGGTATGCTACCAGCTTTTAATGTCCCCACACATACCAATTCCTGTTTGGATCACATAAACGTTGTCATGTTGCTCACACTACCATTACAGATCATTACAGCGTAATCCTTAGCTTAAATTGGACGTGTAAAAATAGTTATCATACTAAAACAATTAATCAGCTTGACTATAAGGCCTTAGACTTAACTTTTAATGAACTAGATTTTACACCTATATACTCAATGCGAAATGTAAATGATGCAGTTACGTTTTTAATTAATATTCTAAATCAAGTTATTGACAAATGTACTAAAAATATAACAGTTACGAGACGTAAACGAACTATAAAACCTTGGATAACTCGTGGCTTGCTAAAATGTATGAAAAATAGGGACAATTTACATATAAAATCAAGAAACCATCCTAATGACACAATTCTTAGAACAACCTACACAAGATATAGGAATTTTTGTAATAAAATACTCAAGAAGGTAAAACATGAATATGAAAAGACGGAACTCCGTAAGGCTAAATGTGACAGCAAAAAACTGTGGGAAATAATAAAAAATATAACTCACACAACTAAAATCAAATCTCCAGCTAGAGAACTTCTTTCTAATGATCCTATGAAGTTGATTTATGACATAAATGAATATTTTGTAAACATAGGAAAGAATATAGCTGAGTCTATTCAAAACCGCTCCTCAAACTTGTCCCTGGGCTCACCAGATATATCACCTAGTAATTCATTTGTATTACTTCCAGTGGACTATTCGGAAATCGAAACAATTATATCAAGGCTTAAAAATAACTGCGTAGGATGGGACAATATTTCAAGTTCTCTTATAAAACGATACAAAAATATTCTTACACCTGTACTTATATATATTTGTAATCTATCTCTAAATAATGGAGTATTTCCTCATGAATTCAAACGTTCAATGATTCACTATATTTATAAGAGTGGTAATAGGGACTGTGTTGATAATTATCGGCTCAATTTCTTTACTGCCAGCATTTTCGAAAATTTTGGAAAAATTCGTAAATAATAGACTAGTCAGGTATCTTGAATCCAATAATCTCCTGTCACATGCACAATTTGGTTTCAGAAATGGCAAAGCTACAAGTGATGCAGTTCATGAGTTTTTAGGTTATACTGTTAAACATATGGACGACAACAAAAAAGTAATAGCAGTATTTCTTGATCTGGCTAGGGCATTTGACACGGTCTCTATTCCACTATTAATTCACAAATTATACAAGCTGGGAGTCAGAGAATCGCAATTGAAATTCTTTGAAAGTTATCTCACTAACCGATCGCAATGTGTTAAAATAGGAATTTGGATAAGTGATGATCTTCCCGTTTCTCATGGCGTACCACAAGGTAGTATTTTAGTTCCTGCCCTGTTTTTGACCTATATAAACAACATGTGCCAGTTAAAATTGATAAATGGAACTCTTGTTTCTTATGCCGATGATACTACGCTTTTATTCAGCGGTGATACATGGGACGAAGCATATTTGTATGCCCAAAAAGGCCTCAATGTAATTATGAACTGGCTAACACATAATAAATTAATGCTAAATGTCTCTAAAACTAAATATATGTCATTCACATTTAAAAAACTTAACACACCTATTTCACCTAATTTCCATATAAAAGCACATATCTGTCATAATTATAATAATGTTATTGACTGTTCTTGTCCTTCGCTCCAAAAAGTAAATGAAATAAAGTATTTAGGTATAATAATTGACAGCAATCTGAATTTTCAAGCACACATTAATCTTCTAACTGATAGGTTGCGCAAGTTGATCTATATTTTTAAAAACCTTCGACATGTGGCAGACGAAACAATAATAAAATCAACTTACTTCTCACTTTGCCAATCATTGATTACCTATTGCATAACAGCTTGTGGTGGTACCTCTAAATCACATCTACTCAAATTAGAACGTGCCCAAAGAGCACTTCTTAAGGTGAGTCATTTCTTTCCGTTTCTCTATCCCACTAAAGACCTATACCAAAGCTGTAAAGTTCTCACAGTCCGCCAATTATTTATCCTCCACACTATTTTAAAACAACATTCTCTGTTATATTACAATCCTTCTCTTCTTATAAATAAAAGAAGTAAAAGTAAAATTTGTCCCATTTTACCACACAAAAGAAGCTTTACACATAATTTCTTCTGCTTCTTGGGTTCTCACCTGTATAATAAAATTAATTCAATTCTATCTATATACAAATTTCCCAAATTTAAATGCAAAAAGATTATGAAACGACTGAGGAACTACTTAAAATCATGAAATAAAACCTAAACGCTATAAACACAAGCACATACACACACACACACACACACACACACACACACACACACACACAAAATTTTTCGTATTTTTTATATTTTTTTCTTCTCTTGTTTATCATACACCTAATATTACCTAGATTATATAAGGTCTGAAGGTGGGGGCTGGTGATCTGTCATGCAGGGAATCATAGTACGTATACCAGTATCTCACAAATTAATTGTAACATATTAAGATTAAGTTGTATGTTTATATTTATTACTAAATTTGTGAGAGGAAAGAATAAACTTATTATTATTATACTTGGGGTATCTATATAGTTTTCTCATCTGGTTGGGATGTATAAATATATAATTATAAACGAAAATGAAAAGATAAACATACAAAAATATCAATAAAATAAAATAAATATGAAAATACATAAATAAATAAAAGCCCAACCAGATGGAAGCCCTCGGCAGGGGAGACCAAACGGCCGAGGGTTAGGGGGAAAGGGAAAGAAACCGGCGGACGATGCGGGCGGTATCGAGGAGCACCGCCTTCTGCATTTGAGCCTGGAGCGGTCCGCCACGTAGTCCCAGCCGCCTCAGATGACCCGAGAGGCTGACTGGGATTAGTCCGTTTGCAGAGACGACTACAGGAATAATTTCGGTCGGCAGACCACCCCACATGTCGGTCACCTCGTGAGCCAGGTCCAGATATTTTGTTTGCTTATCTGTTTCGGCTTTCACGAGGTTCTCGTCAAACGGAATGGTAATGTCGACCAAAAATATCCTTGACTGTGCCCGGTCCATCAGCACAATATCAGGCTTATTCGCAAGAATAGTCCTGTCTGTGATGATGGCCCGGTCCCAATAGAGCCTGGCGCGATCATTTTCGAGCACGGCTTCCGGCAAGTACTTGTAATACGGCAACTTCCGATCCACGAAACCGTATTTCAGAGCGAGCTCCTGGTGTAGAATTCTGGCTACTAGGTTGTGCCTGTGCAAGTACTCAGAGTTAGAAAGCGCCGAACAACCGGAGATGACATGCCTAAGTGACTCACCGGGATGGCGACAAGCTCGACAGATGTCGATGGTGCCATCCTTTAGGATGTATCTCCGATAGTTGTTGGTCTTAATAACCTGATCCTGTATTGCACAGACAAAACCCTCGGTTTCCCCCGAAGAGGTCACCAAAGCGTAGCCAGTGGAGAGAGGTTACTGTGTCTACGAAAGGCCCATGTAGAGACTTGTAGAACCTCCCGTGGAGCTCCTTCTCCTTCCATACGGTCTCCCGGTCGGAAATTGTCTGCACTGCCGGGTCTTGCCATTGCTCGTTGGCTAAGGATAGAGGGGTAAGTCCTTTATCACAAGAAATGACGTCCTTATAGAATGGATCATCCGATCTCGCCAGGAAGTAATTACGGAGGCTGCACACTTCGCGATTATGCATGGTGAGCGCGCTCAAGAAGCCACGCCCACCATGCTTTCGCGGCAAGTACAGCCTCATTACCGACGATCTCGGATGATGCATCCTGTGGGACGTCATGGTAGTGCGGACTTTTCTATCCAGGGCGTTAAGTTCAGTCTGAGTCCACCTGAGTATGCCAAAGGTATACATGAGGACAGGTATGACCCAGCCGTTATATGCTTGTGTCTTATTCACACCGGACAAAAGGCTGTTAAGCACTTTGGTCAAGCGTGCATAAAACACGTCGCAAACTGACTGTTTCATATCAGCCTCATCGATACCAATGTTCTGTGACATACCCAGGTATCGGTATGTTTCAGCCTCGGAAAGGGTCCTTAAGTTGAAGGGCATAGATAAGTCTATGCCCTCAGAGTTAGCAACCCTACCCCTCTCAACATGGAGGACCGCACACTTATCCGTCCCCAGCTCCATTCCAATGGAACTACTAAATTCACAAGTGATGTTTAGCAGTTCCATAAGATGGGAGCGACTGGAGGCGAATAACTTGAGGTCATCCATATAGAAAAAGGTGGGTCACTTTTGTCCCTCCTTTCCGTAGCTGAAATCCCCTCCCGGAGCCCTCCAGTAAGGTACTGAGAGGGTTCAGAGAGAGGCAGAACCATATTGGACTCAGACAATCGCCCTGGAAGATACCCCTTCTTATCCTTATGTGGTTCTCCGCAGCCATCATCCGCTCGCCCAGATGACAAAGGATCGTACTCCACTGCCCCATACACTGCTCGAGGAAGTCTCTAACTGTACAGTCTATCTTGTACAGTTCGAGGACTCTCTTTAGCCATGTATGGGGCACCGAGTCGAATGCCTTTCTGTAGTCTATCCAGGCGGCGGAGAAGTTCCGACGGTTGCGTTTCACCACTTTGCCAATGACCGCGTCAATGAGGAGTGGTTCCTTGGTTCCACGACCGCCGCCCCGACATCCATTTTGAGCGCGCGACATCACCTGATTTGAGTCCAGGTGACGAGTGATTCTCGCGCTCAAAATGGATGTTAGTGTCTTATATATGGTCGGTAGACATGTGATGGGGCGGTATTTGCTCGGGTCTGTGGTACTCTGGCCTTTAGGAACAAAATGGGTGATCCCAGTAGTGAAGAGGCTCGGGAGCGACTTCTGGTTGAGAACCTCTTGAAACTGTCGGGCGAGCACAGTGTGACACACCACGAACCCCTTCAGCCAGTAGTGATGCAGCCCGTCGAGTCCCGGACTTTTCCAGTTCGGGGCCCTACGGACCGCCTCAGCTACGTCATCCGGCGTTATGGTGACGGGGTCCATGGGCGTAATACCCGCACACTGACTCGCCACAACTTCCGTCCAAGGGCCCTCGTTGTGGTTTACGGGCTCTGACCACAGGCTGCGCCAGAATGCGACCGTGTCGGCCTGATTCGGTACTGGGCCCGTTCCACTTACCATTGGTCGCTCCAATGATTTATAGAGCCTCTTCTGATCACTCTGGAAGAGACGATTCTGGTTGAACCGTGTCGACCTCTCGGTATATCGCCGAATTCGCTTTCCCCAAGCAGCGATTCTCTGCTTCAGGTCGTCTATGCGCTCCGTCAGTTTTTGCATTATGTCCGGCTGGGACAAACTAACATTTGTCCCAGCAAACGCCATCCTGACGGTGCGCACAATCCTTGGCCTGGTATTGCCTGACCTGAAGCATATCAGTCTGCCGATGAGGGCCCTAGCCTTTGCGATACGTTCTTCAATTCTTGTTCTCCAGGCTGGGATAGCACTACTTTGTCCAGTAGTGCGTCCAGCCGTGGAAAGTTTGGCGCCTATAATACGGCAGACTGCCAGTGCGGCGCCAAAGAGAATTGAGTCCGTCTCGCAAAGGTCCCGGCTGGCTTCCAAATAGGTCACCAGCATTGGGTTCAGAGCCCTCACGACAGCCCGATTCCGCTTGCTTAGGGCTATGCGGGGAAGTCGCGGTCGATTTTCGAGAGGCGTACTGCGCGTTTCCATAATCGCCTCTTCCAATGTACTCCTCATTTGCTCTATTTCTAGTTCCTGGGTGAATGTTCCATCATCATTTGAATCAGCAACCACTGGGGTATTCTCGGCGGCATCCACGTGTGCGGGTTGTTCTGCAACTTGTGGCACCGCACCCTCAGTCGTAGCGTTTTCATTTGATGAGGGAACAGCCTCACGTCGTAGCCGTTCGAGTTCGGCGCCATCAAATATATTTGAGCGTAAGATATACCGAACTCGGTCTGCCAGGTTTTGCTCGGTGACAGTAATAGATGGCTCCAGCTCAGTAAAAAGACGATGCATCCTAGCCCGATACGCGAAACCTCCAATTTCTCCCCCTTTCGCCCTAAAATACGCCCGCAATGCGTTTGAATTCATATTGATGGTCCATCGCATGCGGCGTACTCCACCAGTGGCGGGTGCCGATTGCTGGGCCTTTATTATTATTAATGATATAATTAATATTATTATTATTATTATTAATTATATCATTATAGAACACTATTTTACATTATTTTATTTCAAAATGTCCTTGATCACTCAATGTCACTATTGAACAAATTCGTACCTATAGGTATTTCGAACCCATACTTCAGAATATTAATGATAACTTATGATAGGATGAACCGATTTTAATAAAACAAAGACTAAATTTAAAACACAATTTTCCTAACGATTATTTTGATATAAATCAGTACTTTATAAATGATACGTTAACAAACAAACAGACACACAGACAATTCTAAAAATGATAGAAATGTATTCAGTTACTTATTTTAGTCCCTTTCAATCAATTTTGTTACAAAAATATAAAATGTACAGACATCTGCAGTTTACATTTTTATTATATGTATAGACCATTGTCTGAATTTAACAATACATAGTACGTGCGATTAAAAAAAAGTAAAAAGTAAAGCGCCCTCCACATTCGCGCCGTGAACACCTGTGAAAGACGTGAACCGCGAATGTGGATGGCTTTCGCGCCCGTACACGGGCTTTACGCCTTTTCACGCCTTGGTTGGTTGTTCAGTGTCGGTATTTTGTGCCCGCTTCAAAGAGCTCCCGCAGACATACAATTGTATGTTGGCCAACTATCGAACGACAAAATTGCGTACTTTTATAATTTAAAAGAAAACTTTTTATTGGTTTGGGAAAAAACGCTCAATTTTTATTCAGGATAGGGTTACAAACGAGTACACAGTCCACCTGATGGTAAGTGGTTGCTGTGGCCCATAGACATCTACATCTATCCTCGATTACGAATCAAAATGCAGATGCGTTGTCACCCGTGAGGACTAAGATATAATGCCTCCTTTCCAGTAAAAAAGGGTCTCCGGATCTCTACACTGACCATACGAAAAACAGCAGCATTTAGCTGCTATTTTACACTGGTATACTGTGAGGACTCCTCGGTCGAGCCGACCCATTCGTGCTACAACCATAATATAGCTGCAGCGTGGCTCTACCACGTACAAAAAATTTGCTTTAATAATAAAAAGAAGACGAAAATAAAAGAGAACATTTTGGGTGCGTTCTAAAGTGACCTTGTACTCTAAAATCGGATGTTACCTAGATATATTTTGGTGAATTTGAGAATATCGTCTTTTAATGAGCTCGTATATCTAATCGGGCCAGCGATAGTCAAACGGGATACAATTTTCCGACTTGCTATCACTCTTGAAGAGAGGCTTGAATTAACTCTCCGTTAAGTATATGCTAGGTTAATAAACATACATATAATTTCTTATTTTTTATTGATTTTCTATACCTATAATCAAATTTGAGACAGTTTAGTGCAAAAATCTGTTATATTTTTATAATTCATTTAGTTCTGATTCCAACTCTGAGAAGTTTGATCAGTATGAAATAATACCATCATGATCATGTGGAGAGGGCGGTGTTTGACTTTCTGGAGATGGACTTGAAAGTTGCAGATTAGATGGTATTGTATCCTGTGGACTGCTGATGAGATTCTGTTAGATGCTGTGTTAAAGTTGTTTGGTCGTGTTGAAGGGACTGAACGACTATGGTTTAGCTGAATAAATTAATCAAAGATAATATAAACGGAAGTTAATGCGCCTGGAAGCTCTTGGAAATTGTGAAGTACTAGGTTGAATGATATCAAATGATATATTTGGCAGTAACATAGATTGAATTGTCATACATTGGTACCTATATAACAAAATCCAAAGATCATAAAGCGAGTTTACATACGCCATAATAGCTCACCACACTACGGGTTAACTGGCAGAGAATGCCGAGAATCATTTAGTACGCCCATTGTTACCTTAGTTGTAAGGTGTTACAATTAATAATAAAAAAAAATTAAAAAAATCCGAGCGTAGGGAAATCACACGCACGCAACGGTTCGTCTTGCATCTTGCCGTGCGACTAACGAACAAAGTTGTATAGTCCGCGAGCTTACATAAGGTAACCGTGCTAACGAGCAGTTGGCCGATAGTTGGACAACTTTTTAATTGTGCGTAATCGGAAGGGAATCTCGATTCTGATACGATCGGTGTCCAATTAATTAGTTGGATGATTTAGTTGGACAATATGTGTGGGCTAGCATATGTTACTATACCTATTGATATGCTCTGCGATTTAGTCGGCCAACTTATAATTGAAAGTCTGCGGCCTCTCAAAGGTTTTACGAGGCGTGAACCTCCCGTGAACGCAAGCGCATCCACACTCGCGCGTGAAACTGAAATCAGTAACGCACGAGACTCGTTGCTATGAGGTTGTGCTTATTTGTATTTTTTTTTTGCGGAGGACGGTGTTTCAAAATGAGCGTAGGTTAGATGAATGAGCAGAAACTCTTGTTGATCGAGTGTTATCATGCCGAACCCATTTTATGGGATGCTAAACACAGAGATCATAAAAATAAAATGAAAGTACATGACGCAGGCATACGAATAAAGGAAAAAATGAATTTTGTTTTATTTTATAGGATAGGGTGACAAACGAGCACACAGTATGTGGATGCTGTGGCCCACAGACATCTACATCTATCCTCGATTACGAATCAAAATGCAGATGCGTTGCCCCCCGTGAGGACTGGGATGGAATGCCTCGTTTCCAGTAAAAAGTGTCTCCGGTTCTCTACACTCACCATACGAAACACAGCAGCATTAAGCTACTTATTTACGCTGCTAATCTGTGAGAGCGTAGGCCTTCCCCGGTCTAGTCGACCCATTCGTGCTACAACTATACTACTAATATAACTGCAGCATGGCTGCATGGAAAAAAAAGAAAGTCTAATGTCCAGTTATAGAAATTATAAGAAAAAGGCGAAAGATTCTGAAAGGAAGTCTGGAGCAAGCAGCGACAAAATTTACAAGCCCATTTGGATTGCCTTTGACGTGATCGATGCTTTTCTAGGAGAAAGCGATAATTGTAAAAAAACTACAAATACGGTTTTTTTTATCTTTTATATACACGTAATTGTGAGCCAACGCGCATAGCGTCATTGCGATAGCAGTGCATATTTCAGCGTCCATTCTCGACGAGCGCGCGAACCAAACTGTGAACGATTGCGAATGTGGAGGGATGTGTTTTTCGCGACGTCTTCGCGGCAAAATTACGGCGTGAATTCACGCCGTGAATCACACGGAAGTCTGGAGCCCACATTATTGTGTTGATTGATCATTGATCCTGTGGATTTACGAGATGGTATCGGGATATAGGGTAGTGAATATTTTTACACCACCACTACACAGCTACAACATCAACTTGAGAGATTGGATAATTTTGTCCCTATAAGTGCCCCTTAATATATATTTTTTGGTGAATTTAACAATTTTTTATGAGACAATGGGTCATAGGTAAGGGAAGAACAACGTCTGTCTGGCAGGCTAGTTAATTATAAAAAAAAGAGTTATAATGGTCCCTTTTTTTCAACACAGGTCGGCAGTGACGGCAGTATCGTGGCATCCTCAATCGGGGCTTCTGGCGTCGGTGGACCGCGGTAAACGCGCGCTCATCTGGGGCGATTTGTGACACGCCTGGGAGCACACATCGCAACCACCGTCGGCTGCACAGGTGTCTATTGAGTAAAAATTAATTTATAAATGGGTATGAATGCGATTCTATCTGCTCTCCTTATCAACACTCTATTCTGTGACCACTTGTAAAAGTTGTGGCGTATACACATGCGTTCCAAAGCTTCCGGGTAACACCGCCAACTTCCTGACTCGATTTCCTACTGAGAACTTCTTGATAGAAAAAGCTTAAACAACTGATTTTGACCATTCACGGGATACGAATCTGGAAACACATGATTAACAGACATGCTTACAACCACTATATTAACAAGGCAGCAGCCAATACAGAACTAATGAAATTGTTTGGATCATTTTTAAAGTAAAACTTTACGCACGCTTGAATTGGACAGTAAGCTGGCGGCCTGGCGGACACGTGACGAAAGCGTTACGTCGGCGAGGCAAACGGGAGTTGAGTGGGGGATATAAGCAAGAGAAAGCAGTGCGCGCGCACATTATTCTTTCCTTCTTTCTCTCATAGCCAGTTATTTTTCGTTATTTTATTTCGTTTTGAACAATTTTATGAATTAATATTTTGTTCAATACATTAAATATTCTACGATTAAAGTGAATAAAATCGTAAATTAATTAAATTATATTCACTTGAATCGTATAATATGTATATATATATATATATATATATATATATATATATATATATATATATATATATATATATATATATATATATAATACAGATGGAGCTAAAGAAGTTTTACTTGTTCAGCGCACTCGTTTTTTTCTTTACATATTCGAAATTAAAACAAAACTTTCGTTAACGCACGAACGTACACAAACAACAGGTAACCTTTTAAAAATAGTGTAATGGGACTCTATGGCCCTCAAAACATGTTGAAATATGGATTTTCAAAAATCGACTCGTTACAGCACCTTTTTTAATTAAAAATGCTTGAAATTAATTCGCGTAAGATCTGCGTAGTAAAATTAACTAATTTAAAGATCCCCGTAATAAATTTATTATTATTAGAAGTTATGATGAGGTAATATAACAATTTTATTACGCGTATCTTAAGCTAATTAATTTGTAACATCCTTAATATAATGGATTTCGGCAAAGTAACGCTTGATTCTATTAAATAACTACTTCGTCTGTTATTTAAAGAAATACTCCAATAAATTATTTGGAGATGTTGCACGTAATAGTTGATGTATGATGAATAGAATCGTTAGTTCGGGCTTACAAGATCTGTTTGCGCCTGAACCTAAACATCAAACTGATGTATAACACTTGATATTATGTCA